GGATGTTGAATTTATATCTTTGACATCTTTTCACCAGTTTGCAATAGGTGACCTAAATGATCAATTTCCAAAATCATCATGTATCTCACCTGGACGGGTTAATCCATAATACTCTTACTTTCCATTGACTGGCTTTAGCTCTGGCAGACTGAATATTTTTATCATTATAAATAAACTTTATGCTAGTTGAAGTAAAGTTTCTCTGAAACTGCTATGTTTATAAAAAAAAAGGGTTAGTCTTAGAGGGACCTGGCACCCAGACCACTTCATAAAGCTGAAGTGGTCTGGGTGCCTAGAGTGGTCCTTTAAATTTCAAATAAAGAACTTCTTACCCCCGTTTCTTACTCCCCCCTCCCCCTCTTCTTACTTCTCCCTCCCCCTCTTACCCCCCCTCCCCCTCTTACCCCCTTCTTACAGGAGTTTCTGTTTCCTGTACCCGGTCGGACTGACAGGAAGGTGCACACTGAGCGTGCACCTTCCTATCAGTCCGGCCGGCCACCGCGGACTGCAGAGCGGCTCGGCCACGCTAAAGGGAAGGTGAGTACCAACTGCAGCCGCCTGAGCGCTCTTAACAGAGCGCTCAGGCGGCTGCAGAATTTAAAGGGCCGGCGTATAACACGCACCCACGATTTCTCCCCTATTTTCAGGGAGAAAAAGTGCGTGTTATACGCCGATAAATACGGTATTTGTTTGTAGGCCAGACTGCAGCTGCATATGGCATTTTAGCAATAATCTTCAATTGCGTTTCAGATATTCACAAAGTCTATCCACCTTTGTAATTAACACATTATGTGTTTCTTATACCATTAATTATAGTATCTGTATTATAGTACACATTGTCACTGACACATTTCTGATACAGGGAAAAAAATAGATGATTGCTTTAGTAATTATAATTTATCGGTCCATGCACCACATTTTTGTAAGTCCAGAATATAGCAAGAATCCTTTGTCGTTTGATTCTATGGAGCCATTTAACGTTTTGATTGGTATAGTTATACCAAAAGAGCAAGGAGTACAACGGTAGATCACATCTGCAACAGAACCATTACAGATTATTTGTTGTATCAATGTCTCTGTGTTTACAGGAGTTCCTTGCTTTGTTCTTTTTATTATTTATTTTAATTATTATGAAAATAAATGCAAGTTTATTCCCCCATGGCTCTTGCATACTTTGGCAATTGGGGAATGCTGCTCCCTGGTTGCCCAGTTGTCTCGGGCACTGCTTAAGGTCTCCAACTCCGTTGGATGCAGGTCTTTCTCTCACAATCTTCGGGACTAAAAGTATCACAGCATTGCCATGGGTACACATGGCAACCATGTAGAGATTGTGAGAGAACGAAGCCAAGCTGCAGAACTGAAGTACTCTGGGTCGCCCTCCTCCACATTGGGCAGACACCAGGCTGCTGAGGAACATGACCTCCCTACCTGCCACGATGAGGCAGAACTCCATCTTTAAGGGGCTCTATAAGTAGCACAATCCCTGGCTGTTGTGAGCTGTGGCAGCCGTTTGGCGCCACATTTGCTATTGCGTCCTGTGGGGCCGCAGAGATCGCACAATCTCAATGGCCGGCCCTGCTGTTTATGAGAATCTGCAACGTATACATCTTATAATCCCCATAACTATTAGTGGCTATCAGACAGACATCAGACTTCAATAATTGAATCTTCTGGTGTCTACGTGAGTAAGTTTGCTAAAGCCGGATGAAGAATATGCGTATTGCACTTCTCTTTGAAAAGTATTGGGTTCAGTGCATTGGAATGGACAAAAAATATATATTTTTATTACTATTATTATTGTAAATTAGACACCAAAGAACATCTGCTACTTCACTTCTGCAGCAAGCCTCCCAACAGACAGCAGCACAGACCCAATTTCGGGGTCGTATCTCGCAATCCTGATTTTGTTCTCTGGTGTCCGGCCCACTGGGACACCAGAGAACTGCCCTTGGGCAGCACAGCAAACACATCGGCAGCCCTGTGAACAGGCTTTAAGTCTAGGACCATGCAGAGAGCGCTTCTCCAGCATTTTATGCATGGTCCTGTAGGTTGGGGCATGATAACACACCCTTTCACTTCACCCATCCCAATCTCATGCAGTGCTCTGACCCAACCTCCCACCTTTTGGCATTCCCCACCTGCAGGCCTCCCATTCCTATCACAGTTACACTTGGCACTGATTGTTATCTGACGTTTATACTTTCTGTTTTTCTCAGCAATCTGCAGCAATCTACATCCTCTTTTAAAAACAGCGTGCTTTTCATGACTAGCCTGCAGATCTATTTGCAGAAGTTGTCAGCGACTTCCTCTGTCAGTGAAGCACGCATCTCAGCCGTGGTACATCTTGACCTTTTAAAGCTTAAACTAAAAGCTACATTTTTAAGGTGACAATAAAGTATTTTGAAAAAAATCACATTTCAATTATATTATGATGTAAAAAGTAAGCCTAACCCTGTATATCTGGATATAGCTCGGCTATTTACTAACCCTGTATATCTGGATATAGCTATATACTAACCCTGTATATCTTGGATAGAGCTCTTAACTAACCCTGTATATCTGGGATACAGCTCTGCTATTTACTAACCCTGTATATCTGGCAGGCCCGGACTGGTCATCGGGCACACCGGGCAAATGCCCGGTGGGCCGCGGTGGCCATGGGCCGAGGCCAGCAGGGAGATCACAGGCTCTCCCCTGCCAGCCCCTGCAGGGCCAATGCTATCCGAGCGCCGGCCCTGCAGTAGTCCATGGCGGGCCGGTGGGGAGATCAAAAATCTCCCTCACCGGCCCACATAGAGTATACTGCGGCCGCCATGGCAACGCTCCGGGTCTCGCGGGAGTGAACTCTAGCCCCAAAGGCTAGAGTTCACTCACCACTAGTACCACCAGGGATGGATGGCAGCAGCAGGATCCCCCCTCCCAGGCTAAAGGTAAGCAGGGAGGGGGGATAAAATCACCCAAGTCACATCAGCCTCACAGACACCCCTGACACTCACACACACTGCACCCCTGACTCTCACAGCACCCTCACTCACACTGCACCCCTGACACTCGCAGCACCCACACTCACACACACACACACTGCACCCCTGACACTCACAGCACCCTCACTCACACTGCACCCCTGACACTCACAGCACCCTCACTCACACTGCACCCCTGACACTCACAACACCCTCACACACACACACTGCACACCTGACACTGACCTCACCCTCACACACACACTGCACACCTGACACTCACAGCACACTCACTCACCCACACACTACACACTGCACCCCTGACACTCACAGCGCCCTCACACACACACACACACACACACACACACACTGCCCCTGGCACTGGCTTAGCACCCACACACACTGCACCCCTGACACTCACAGCACCCTCACTCGCACACACTGCACCCCTGACACAGCGCCCTCACTCACACACACTGCACCCCTTGCAATCACAGCACCCTCACTCACACACACTGCACCCCTGACACTCTCAGCACCCTCACTCACACACACTGCACCCCTGACACTCTCAGCACCCTCACTCACACTGCACCCCTGACACTCACAGTACCCTCACACTGCACCCGACACTCACAGTACCCTCACTCACACTGCACCCCTGACACTCACAGCACCCTCACACACACACTGCACCCCTGACACTCACAGCACCCTCACTCACACACACTGCAACCCTGACACTCACAGCACCATCACTCACACTCACAGCACCCTCACACACACACTGCACCCCTGACACTGACAGCACCCACACACACACACACCGCACACACACACTACACACACACACTGCACACCTGACACTCACAGCACAATCACTCACTCACACACTACACACTGCACCCCTGGCCTCTGGCACCCTCCTCCACACACACACTGCACCCCTGACACTCACAGCACCATCACTCACACACACTGCACCCCTGACACTCACAGCACCCTCACACATACACACACTGCGCCCCTGACACTCACAGCACCCTCACACACACACACACTGCACCCCTGACACTGACAGCACCCTCACACACACACACACTGCACCCCCGACACCTACAGCACTATCACTCACACACACCCTGCACACCTGACACTCACAGCACACTCACTCGCACACACTGCACCCCTGACACAGCATCTCACTCACACACACTGCACCCCTGACACTCACGGCACCCTCACTCACACACTACACCCCTGACACAGCACCCTCACTTTCGCACACCTGCACCCACTTGCAATCCACAGCACACCCTCACTCACACACACACATACACACTGCACCCCTGACACTCTCAGGTACCCTCCATCATACTGCCCCTGACACTCTCCCACAGCACCCTCACTCACACTGCACCCCTGGCCTCACAACACCCTCACTCCTGCCCCTGACACCGCAGCACCTCCACTCCTGCCCCTGACACTCCTGCCCCTAGCCTCACAGCACCCCTCCTTTCTCACACACTTCAACCCTGACACTCACAGCACCCTCACTCGCACACACTGCACCCCTGACACTCTCAGCACCCACACTCACTCGCACACACACACACACACACACTGCACACCTGACACCTGACACTGACAGCACCCTCACACACACACACACTGCACACCTGACACTCACAGCACACTCACTCACTCATACACTACACACTGCACCCCTGACACTCACAGCACCCTCACTCACACACACACACTGCACCCCTGACACTGACAGCACCCACACCCACACACACTGCACCCCTGACACTCACAGCACCCTCACTCGCACACACAGCACCCCTTGACAGCACCCACACACACTGCACCCATGACACTCACAGCACCCTCACTCGCACACACTGCACCCCTGACACAGCACCCTCATTCACACACACTGCACCCCTGACACTCACAGCACCCTCACTCACACACACTGCACCTCTGACACTCACAGCACCATCACTCACACACACTGTATGTGTGAGGGTGCTGTCAGTGTCAGGGGTGCAGTGTGTGTATGTGTGAGGGTGCTGTGAGTGACAGCATCCACACACACTGCACCCCTGACACTGACAGCATCCACACACACACACACTGCATCCCTGACACTGACAGCACCCACACACACACACACTGCACTCCTGACACTCACAGCACCATCAGTCACACACACTGTACCCCTGACACTCACAGCACCCTCACACATAGCTTCCTGACATGCATATAGCACCCTCAAGCAAACACAGCACCCATCGCACACACACACTGCACCCTTACCCACATAGCACCCTCACGCACACACAGCACCCATCACGCACACACACACTACACCCCTTACACACACACTGCACAATATGCTTTCCTAGCATTTTTGTCTCCTGGTATCCCATCTATGGAGACACCAGAGACAAATTTCAAGCAAACACAGTGCAAGAATGTTATTAAATTCACTTGCACTGTGCAGAACAAATACAGGGTCTTTTTCTCATGCTAGAGCTCTTCAGCAGAGCTCTGCGCATGATCTACCCTGGAAGAGCATTGAACCAACATGCTCACTTTGTGATGGGGTGTGCTTGTCATTGGTGATGACAAAACACACCCGATCTGGCCCTGCCCCCTTTTTAGTGGGCCGCTGTGATAAAAAGAATACCTGGACCGAATTTTCTTCCCAGTCCGGCCCTGATATCTGGATATAGCTATATACTAACCCTGTATATCTGGGATACAGCTCTTTACTAACACTGTTTATCTGGATATAGTTCAGCTCTTAACTAACCCTGTATATCTGGATATAGCTCGGCTATTTACTAACTCTGTATATCTGTATATAGCTATATACTAACCCTGTATATCTGTATATAGCTCGCCTCTATACTAACACTGTATGTCTGGGATATAGCCCAGCTTTTTACTAGCCCTGTATATCTGGGATATAGCTCTTTACTAACCCTGTGTATATGGGATATAGTTCGGCTCTTTACTAACCCTGTATATTCGGGATATAGCTTTTTACTAACCCTGTGTATCTGGGATACAGCTCTTAACTTACTCTGTATATCTGAGATATAGCTCAGCTATTAACTGACCCTGTATATCTGGGATATATAGTTCTTTACTAGCCCTTGACTGCTGACCCATCATCCATGTCCCCACCATTGCCCCCCCAATAACATACCGGACACCTTCTTAGTGGATAAGGGCAATGGCCACAGCTTTATTAAATTTTTTATTTTAACATTATCCAACTCTGTCAGCTGTTGAGTGGTTGCCCAACAGACAGTTCCCCCAACCTTTGTCCATGAGCCTAAACAGCTGGCACTTGCCATTAGCTCCCATGCGGGCTGTCATCTCCCCAAAGCGACTCTTCGTCTTAACCTTTTCCTTTGCGTTGTCCAGAATACCGCTAAGCTGTGACAAAACAGAAAGAAAACAAAGCCAGACACAAAACAACCAGAACTCAACGGAAAAGTCAGTCTGCTCCTGTCTCTGCTGACTGGTGAGTCTCCTCCCCTCGCCTCTTAGAAAACTGACCATTTGCAACTTTTGTATCATTTTTTTTATCCAACCCCTTAATCATGTGCAGCAGTCATGCTCCCCCTTCCCAACTTGTCCAGGGGAAACTTGACTGCTGACCCATCATCCATGTTCCCACCGTTGCCCCCCAATAACACACCGGACACCTTCTTAGTGGATAAGGGCAATGACCACAGCTTTATTAAATTTTTAATTTTATCATTATCTAACTCTGTCAGCTGTTGAGTGGTTGCCCAACAGACAGTTCCCTCAACCTTTGTCCATGAGCCTAAACAGCCGGCACTTGCCATCAGCTCCTCGGGTGTGTGTGTTAGTGAGAGTGTGCAAGTGACACTGTGTATGTCAGTGAGAGTGTGCTAGTGAGTATGTGTAAGTAACACTGTGTGTGTGTTAGTGAGAGTGTGCAAGTGACAGTGTGTGTGTTAGTGAGAGTGTGTAACGAACAATGTCTACGACAGCGTCCGTGTGTGGTGTTAGTGAGAGTATGTAACTGACAATGTATATGTCAGTGAGAGTGTGTAAGTGACACGGTGTATGTCAGTGTGTGTGTTAGTGAGAGTGTGTATCTTTCTTTCCCTAAATGTGTACTCATTATGTCTCTCTCCTAAAATGTTTCCCAGTCGCTGTTTCCTAAATATCTAAACAGTCTCTCTATCTTTTTCCTAAATGTCTCCCCAGTCTGTTTCTGCTCTTTCTCACCATATGTCTGCATTCACTTAAAGGGCCCCCAGACCACTTCAGCTCATTGAAGTGATCTGGATGCACTGTCCTAGGGCCCTTACCCTACAAAGGTAATTATTGCAGTTTTTTAAGAAACTGACATAAATACCATTCAGGGTTAACTCCACCTTTAGTGGAAAGCATTGTATAATGTTTTCCAATGGGGAAATCCTAATGCGAGCGCGGTTATTGAAAAGTGAAGGCAGTCCTAAGCCAGCGCTGAAAGACATCAGCGCTGGACCCAGGTAAGTGGCAGAAGGGATTTTTAACCCCTTCTGCACAGTAATGTATTTGCTGCAAGGCAAACAAGGCATTTGCCTTGGGCGGCACTTTCGAGAGGGCGTATTACGCCGCCCCCAAATGCCCAGCAAATACCTTGTTAACCTGGTTGCAGGCGGCTAGCTGAGTTCCAAGGTGGGCAGCGAGGGAGAACTGATTGGCGAGTTCTCCCTGCTTAGCTCCCTCAATCGCCGCAGAGTGATGACATCATATTCTGGCTCCCGACATCACTCTGCGGCACGCAGTGTGGCCAGTGGCAGCTAAAATTATTTCCCTCCCACTTAGTGATAGGTCGTGCTCTAATGGCGGGTGCCTACCACATTCACTCCCCAGCTGGCTCCCTCCACATATAAAATGCCACAGTGACAGACACCTCTCCAATAGTGAGTGAATGTCACTTAAGCAGTCTGGCCACTGAGCAAAATACTTTTTTAAAAAACTTTATTCTTTTTTTTTTTTGTTATAACATTTTCTCCTGAAGAGAATCTCCTTGCTGGCCTGTCAGCTTCAAATAGTTTTTTTTGAAAATAAATTTCTATTTTACCTTACAGTAAAACTAAATAGTTAAAGTAACCATTTGGCGGCATCTTGTGGCTAAACTTTGTATTGCACTTGTAATTTGTGTTTATCCTCAAAATAGCCTATTTATATTACTAATTAATAGAAATAAGTCTATATGGTTTATTCCCTATATATGGGATCACAGTTGTCCAATTTAGACATATTACTATTTGTGATTAAAAATATTTAGGGACATAGTCAAATCGAGGTGTCCAGTCTGGCACCCCAAAAACTTGAAAAGTCACCAGCCACTACTGGATTTGGCTCAGCTATTTACCTGGCCGTTTATCTGCGATATAGCTCGGCTCTATGCTGACCCTGTATATTTGGGATATAGCTCTTTACTAACCCTGTATATCTGGGATATAGCTATTTACTAACCCTGTATATCTGGGATATAGCTATTTACTAACCCTGTATATCTGAGATATAGCTCTTTACTAACCTTGTATATCTGGGATACGGCTCTAACTATTAGAAGACTTGGAATAGGTCCAAATAACTTCAGCAATGAAAAGGAAGGATTTCTGGATCTTTAAATTGGAGATCTTTGCACCAGAAGGACTAAAACATTACACTATGCACAAGCAACTTACACCCTAAATGGCGAATTAGGGATAACCACACACGAGAAGGATTTAGGAATTGTTATAGACAACAAATTAGGCAGCAATATGCAATGTCAATCTGCAGTTGCTGAGGCCAGTAAGATTTTGTCATGTATAAATAGGGGCATAAATTCTCAGGATGAAAATATCATTTTGCCGCTTTATAAATCGCTGGTAAGACCACACCTTGAATATGCTGTGCAATTTTGGGCACCTGTTCTAAAGAAAGATATCATTGCACTAGAAAAAGTCCAGAGACGAGCTACAAAATTGATAAAAGGAATGGAACATTTTAGTTTCGAAGAAAGGTTAAAACATGTAAATCTCTTTAGTTTGGAAAAACGGCACCAGAGAGGGGATATGATAACATTATACAAATATATTGGGGGCCAGTACAAACCATTATCTGGAAATCTATTTATAAACAGGGCTATACATAGGACACGAGGTCACACATTGTGGCGAAACCAACCTTGCCACTGGGCATTGGAGAAGCCTGTTTGCCCGCCTCCTGCCTGCTGACTATGGCCCCTGGGAGATTTGGCCATTTCAATACAGTATTTGGGCATATTGTATTTAATTATGCTGCTGCTGGCCCTTTAAGAACCATCTGGGGACATACTGTCACTTTTGGGAACAATGCCCCTTTAAGACTATGGCCCTTGGAAGATATTGCCTGTTAAAGACTATTTTTGCAGATTGGATTTTAAAAGACTTGCTGCCCCTTTAAATTGTATTGGAGCAGTTCTGCAGCTTTAAATTGGCACTTCGGATGCAGCCGAAGTAGTCGAAGTGGCTGCCATTCAACAAACAAACACGTAGCGGCCATCTTTGTTCATTCGAACGAGGTCAGTGGTATGTGTAGCCAAATCCATGGAACTGAAATCGGCTACACATTTCAATGAACACCGCTGACCTTCTCCTACACTCAGTTTTCAGCTGCAGAGACTAAGTCCCGTTCGGCAGTTTGAACTCACTGCTATACTAAGATAAATGCATGAACGGCCCCATTCGTGCATTTGAATGGGACTTAATCATTTTTCTGTGTGTAAAAAAAAAAAAAAAAAGACTCCCAGCTAACTTTTTATCTACTGGATGGATTTGTCTGATATTTGAGAGTGTTTATGTTTAAAGTGTGCTGATTCTGAATATGAAGATTGGATGTATATTTTTAAAGTTATAGCACATGTATAAAAACTGTATTTTTCCTGCTTGTGATAATTATGTTAACGTATTGTGTACCATAATTATATCACAGGCAGAGGGGAGGATTTTGTGTATAATTGCTGGGAGTGTTTTCTGTAATGTACGTGTGTTATTGGTTGTTCTGTAAAACTCTGTGGGCAGTACTAAGTTTGTGGATTGGGAATAAAAG